CAGTGTACTCATTGTGTGATAGAGAGATAAACATTTGGTTGAAGTTAGACATTCAGGCCGTTGAATGTCGCCTCAGTGGTCTAGAGGTTAAGCGCTCGCGCGCGAGACCGATAGGTCCTAGGTTCGGATCTTGCGATGCGGAATCGTGGATGCACACTACTAAGGAGTCCCACAATGGGGTGAAACGGCCATCCAGTGCTCCCAGGTTTTCCATGATAGTCTAGCTTCAATTAACTAATGATCTCAACTATTAAAATACATAAACATTTCGCCTAAAACCAGGTTCATGGTGCTTCTAAAGTTACAGAATTTCAAAAGTAATTATAATAGTGGTAAAATTTATCTATTCCCTCTCTCTATAGTTTACATCTGTAAGCTTATTACATCAATATCCACTTAAAATTTTAATTTATTTCCTGTTATTTTCCAATCCTTAACAATAGATCTTCCTTTATTCTCTTTAATTCTTCTCATTTAATCATCATAATCACCGGTGATCATTACCTAATTGATTAACCTTACATTTCACTAATCAAACCTTCATAGTTATATCACACTTCTCATTTTGGTGTGTTTCATTTGTGATTAATATTACACAAAATACTTTTGCTTATTGATTTTCTAACGTTCTTCGGTATTTTTTTTCTATCTTTTTGACTGACCATATGTTAACGAATTAATTAAGTGCTTTGATTTAGTTTTCGGGCGAAATTTATTTGGTAAATTAACGTATAACTGATTATTGATTGATGATCTTGCGTTTAATTTACTGATAAGTCACCGAAATTTCACCATTCATTGACACTTCTCAGTTGACTGATAATTTGAAAGCTTGGACCAAACAATCTCAAGCATATTATTCCCTCCTCTTTTTTTCCCCAAAAATATTAAATGAAATACCCTGTATACATGTATTAGCATGGAATAAGATACATACGATATGGTTTTCTAACTTGAAATACTACCCGAAGATCAATAAAAATCTATTTATTAGTATAGGAGGTCCATAACCAATACTGAATTTTATGATTTATATCACGGAATGATGTTGCTCAGACCAGCTATCATTGAAAATCAGGAAACATTGGAATGCAAATCAGCTATATCCATATAAAAATTCCACAATGGGCTTAACGCAGGATTTTTATATCCGATTGCGAACGCTTACTCTTTAAAATATGAAGTCGTCAGTCAATGGTTTACATCTCTAACTTCAGTCAATTTGTGATATTTCATAAACGTCGTCTTATGTCATCGGTGTTTGCCTACCTCACACGCTAGTGGAGTTCATCCATGTTGGATATGAAGCAGTTAATCACTGTTACATTGGAAGATGGTCGCAAAGCATCACGGATTAATTAAAGCTAAAAATGTAAACCATTAGATACCAACTCAGTAATTTTTGTGTTAAGTGTTCACCACAATATATGAAGAACCTGGGTCTGATCCTCTGTGGGATTGTAAATGCCCATCACTGAGGAAGAGTCTCATACTATACCGAAATCGCTGTCTAATTCTTCCTGATTGTCAATAGCGGGAAATCTAATTTATAGTGAACCTTGATCAAGTAAGTCATGTGAATGAATAACCATCAAAGAAATACTGACTGCTTATTACGTAACGTTGGAAATAACTGGAATATTGTCAATATTGTTTTCGTTTGTCTAAAGTATTATCTTAACATTAGTTTGTGTACACAGATCTCATCATAAAGAAAGTAAGGAGAATAGGCATATTGTATTTAATTATTCAAGCGTACTGCAATATGTGTTCCTTATTAATTTTTCATTCTCTTCAAACTGTTACATAAATGAATGATTTCAAATAGATTGTAAAAAAACTAATAAAACTGTAATTTAATGACTAAAGCACTTAACTTTCTATTAATAAGTTTAAAAGTTCAGTTTTCGGGCACCCAAACAGTTGCGATACCAAGACCCTACAAAAAAGTGTGTCTACTAACTCAATGTGTTTGATAAATGATTTAGTTATATTGCATATCATTACTATAGTGAATTTCGTTTAATCTCTGTTTGTGTGTGTGTTCGTATTCTAACGATTGATTTATTTGTATTCACAATCTATCTGATTTGCATTTTTTTCATAACACTCCTTTCACTATTCATATGTAATAAGTAGTATGTTTTAACGATATATGTGTTGTAGCTGCTGAATTCGTAAAAGAAACTTCGAGAGGATCTCTATTCTAGTGACAGTTGTTGGTGGGTATATAAAAGAAAATCGTTATGCTTTTCATAATACCTACTCTTGTAGGCTAAAAAACTATGTAATGTAGTAAAACAATGCGGTATATATGTTTGCTTCTCAATAACCTGATAAGTTTGAGGGTCCCTTCTTTATCTCGACACCCTCTCAAATTGCCGTACATTTATAGCCTCTCCCAGCGTTATCTTGCTCTGTATCTCCTCGTAATGGAGGCGCTGTTTACGAAAGTGACACGACAAAAAGCGAACACACCTACATTCTAAACAAATTCAATATAAAATGACCTAATCTGTTGTGTATATTTTCACAGTGGAAACGAAATTATACACCCATAACTCTTTTCTTTATGTATATTGTTTTCGATTGTTTCCCTTTTTTACTACTATACTTACTAACTAACAAAAGACTCTGGAAATGTTAACCATGAGATGATAACCTTTTCATTACTTACTTTTTCTGGTTAGTGTTTTTTTAGCGAGTTATTTTGCTACGGGATAGGGTTGCTAACCCCATGCCTATCCCTCCTCCTTTATCCGAGCTTGGGACCAGCAATAGCCCCAGAGGGGCTCCATGCGGAATTGATAACCTTTTCATGTAATATATTTTTTCATATATTGTTCGATTTATAATTGAATACAGTAAAGTTTGTTCTATCTACGATTAAGGGCACCATTTATCTATATTAGATATAGACAAATTATTTTGAGAAAGATGATCCTTTCTGAAATTACTCTATGGCGAATGATTATGTATGCTTTATATATTTAATTAAATACTTAGTTGTATGGTATTTAATTCATTGCTCTAATTGTAAACATTCATTAACTGTTCATATGTATTTGATCATTTGTAAATTATTGTTAATTAATTATACATCTATTACTTAATTTTGTATCAATTCTGGCATAGTTATTTACACATTATAAGTTCTCATATGTTATACTTCTTAGTTGTGTAATTAATTCACCTAATCCTATAGGCCTTCGAAGCATTAATAACAACAACCATACAATAATTAAATGTATATCTGTCCCATGCTTTACGTTGATTATAATCAACTAACTGATTGACTCATAATAATCGAAAATTAATCAGGTGACTATTGTAATTTGATAATTGGTTATTGTGAATAGAGGAAGTTGCATAGATCAATAGACGAGAGGTGATCCAAGTGTTATTAATTGTTTATTTATTTATTCATTTAAACATATAAACATTGGTACATGGAGACACCGAATAGATATACGCCATATAAATCATTCGATTTGTATGAGGGCTGGAATGCTGTCTGGGCGCACAAACCGAAGCAGGTGGTTTTCTTAAGAAGTCACTCCACGCGCTCTTAACCTGAAAGTATAATGTACAAAACAGGAGCAATGTTAGGAGATGCAATCCCATAGTAACCGGTGAACAACATTAGGTTTACACACCTTTTATTCCTTTAGGATCCTGTAGCTCGTGTGCACCAGTAGTGTGAAACGAGGGTCTTCCAACTCCCCTAGTTAGATCCTCCATATCTATTTACCCGGTCAAAGCTCCAAACATCCCATGGATGCTGGCTCAGTGGTCTAGTGGTTAAGCGCTTGCGCGCGAGACTGATAGCTCCTGGGTTCGAATCTGGCGGGGGGATCGTGAATGCGCACTTTTGGGAAGTCCCATACTAGAACAAAATGGCCGTCCAGTGCTTCCAGCTTTTCATGGTGGTCTAGTCTCAATTAACTCGTGATTTCAACTAGTGAAGTTTCTAAAAACTCCGCAAAACCCCTTCTGATAATGTCTATTTGTTAAAGTGTATTATGTTCTAGTTGTCGTTATTGATTTGCACAATAATATTTGTTTGTATTAGAATAATTCAATTGTTCTTTAATTTACAAGTATCTTACACATGTACCGAATCTCAAATGTCAAGATTGTTTTGTTTTTTTTTGCTTTCGCGAAACAGTAACAACTAACATTACAAAATGAAGTGAATTCATTTGATTTCATGTGCAATAAAAGCCTTTCATTTACAAGCAATGATTTTTATAATTAAATTATTTGTATTATAAATGTAATTTGGTGCGTAACACATGGAAAACGAGCTATATAGGGGAATATATATATATATATATATATATATACTTAAGTATTCCACTTTATAGAATGAATCACTAATTGATCTTAGTTAGACTACCAGTAAAAACCAGAAATCATTGAACGGTTACTGTTTCCCATTATGAAAAACTCTTCTGCAATGCGTATCCATCAAGATTCTGGGTTTGATGCCCTATTGTTATTTTGTGGATGCACACTGTCGACAAATCTCATACTATCGTAATGAACAGAACACGAGTGAGGACAATCGAATGTCTTTGACACGAAATTACAGGGCAACTCAATAAAATCTGAGAACCATATAGTAAATCGTTAGTTTGCAAAATATCAATCCATCATATCAAACTTGATTGTTCTTGTTGCAAACATTAATCTATTGTCTCAGATTTCATTGTTCATGCGTTTTCATATTAAATGCGTTCCGTTCCCGTTCTTTCCTTATAGACCTTCTAATGAAATACATTCTATGCCTGACCACCGTTACACACTACTTATGTGGATATAAGTAGCCCACACCACACTATGACTAAACAGCTTTCTAGTGGTCCTAATATTTAATGATGGTTTAATTAAAATCAATCTATGATTTAACAATCTCAACAAAGTTTCATATACTGATAATATCCCATTTCAATATGTTAATTGTCTATGTTAGTGTTTTCATGTTGTTGTTGTTGTAGTTACATCAGTGCACTTGCCGATCGTGTTACGGTTATATTCAGTACTGTCTTTAAAGAATCGGATGATCTAATTATTGCTAAAGTATTTTTACAGGTAAATATAGATATTCTTTTTTCAATGATGATCATTATTATTATATGATTGTATGTCAGGAAAAAAATTTTTTCCAGTCTATCGATTAATCCCTCATTATTTGATCATGTGAAAATATCAGATCAGATGTTCATGATCTGTAATTTGTATGCTGATTTTTTCTCTCGTCTGTCTAATACGATAGTATTTCTTTTTCCAAAGAAACCACTAATTACTTACAATGATCCATTGTTAAAATCGTCATTAAACTTATTTTTGATGTTTTATTGTTCTATATTTATACTACACTTTGCAATTTGGAAATCGAATACAATATAACACAAACGATTCAGAACATAAGTATTCACTATTTCCATTAATAAAACTTACTTACCCAAGTTCCAGATTAATGAAAGGATAATACCTGGTTATTCACAATGAATGTTGATGTGTTCTTAAAATTCAGATACTGAGGATATGAGTTTCAGCAGTTGAATTTAAATTTGCACACCGATTGTTTGAAAATTTCAATATGATGTTCTGTATTGATTCAGATTGAATGTTTGGGAAGTATTGTTTTACTTCTCAACATTCAATGATTCAATTGAATAACCAAATACAAATTTGTGTTCTCTGATTCGAACTGTACTTTGTGTGTATGTATGTGGGTATTTGAAACAGTTAGTGGTACTATCGAGTTTTGTCTAGAACAAAGCATGTAAATCAGTGTTGAAGTCTGCAACCCATTAGTTGGGAGTTGAGCGGTAGTGTATCCACTATTCTATCCCTTTAGTTTATGAAACGGGGTAGAAATTTATTTTAAATAAAAGGTCATTCGGTGTAATGTAGTTAGAATGTTTATATACATATTACATGTGTATGTTCAGAGTCACCCAGTTGGCTATATCCAGTTCATGTAATCATCATCTTGATGTTGGATAATTCACACATAATGTTACTGAACTATGTGATTCATTTACCATTATATATAGAATAATTAGTTAGATTCTGAACCTCGATCTAATTTAATATAATCACATGAACATTTATAGACAAGATCAAACTTTTGAATCAATAAGACTTCTCAACACTGTGCCATTTATCTACCCTCTTAGCCATGTGTACATAAAAGATGAACTCAAGAATTGTTTTCTCTCAAAAGTTCAATAATTCCATCTAATTGTGTAATGAACACGAACACCAACAGGGACAATCGAATGTAGTTGGCAACAAATTATACAACTTGTTAATAAAATCTAACAACCATATAGTAAATGCCCAATTTGCAAAATGTTCATCAATTCTCTCAAAATGACTCAGATTTTATTGTTCTTACATTTTCATACCCATTGCATTCTATTTTCATTCTTTACTGTTCGATCTTCTTGTCTCTCTGCTGCCAGACATTCTGTTCATGACTAACATCATATACTACTTATGTCTACATAAGTAGCACACACCATAGTTGTAATTAATCATTCACATGTGTATGATTTTGAACAATTAACTAGGTCACAAACAAATTAGTATTAACTATATTATACACTACTCAGTTTATTTATATATTGGGAATAATAGTTCAATATATATTCCCTTGTATAAAATTGTCTATCTACATAGAAATAGATAGATACAAGTACTTGTTTGTTTCATCTTATATATCTCTTACTCACTCGTGAATCATGTTGTTTTCTTTTCAATAACGTATTTTCTCTTCATATATCAACGTCTCAACAGGTTTTTGTACAACTTTCAGGCTTTTCTAGATTTCTCATATCTCTGTATGTGTATATAAACATATATATGTATGTGTGTGTGTGTGTTTGTAGATGTATAATAAATTAATTTAATATTGTGAATGATGATTGATTGGTAATTTACATGGTTCATGTATCCTTAAATTGAAAACAATCATACATAATGATAGTAGTAGTATATACAGTAAGGCAAGTTATACATGTGTTTATCATATATCACATGTGTAACAATGATATTTAATACTATTTCATAGTTCATGAAAACAGTTGTTTTCAATTAAAATATGGACCAGAATAAGTTTTATTAATCAATCATGAATATCTGTATATAAATGTACATTTTCATGTACTTGGTTATTAAGTTATACTGAACTAAAGACTCATTCATCCATAATCAACATAAAACCTGGTACATATGTTCCTTAACCTAATATGTCATGTTGCATCAATATACTAAGACGAAGTGAAAATGGAATAGTAGTAACATAGTCTAGATAATTTAGTAGCAAAATAAACTAAACATTGAAAATACAAAATAAGGAAATATATATGAAGGAATACTGAAACTCAAGAACTATGACAAGACAATGAATGGATACCTCTGTACTAGTATGATCAATGTCTCCAACCACTGATTATGAATATCACTCTGTCATCAACCAGGTAGTTCTCATGTATCAACATAACTCAGACCATTAGTCATTGACTTCATAGACTGATGTCAAGTCTTGATTTGGTCTTTTCTAGCTTCTGACTTCTATACGATAACTAAAGATACGTAGCTACCTAGTTGAAGTCCGTGTGATTATCGCAACTAATAATTAGAGAATTTAGGTGACGTGACTCCAAATTGTTCAAAACGTCCCAGGTGCATTTAAATCGTGATTCACAAAATCCTTCTACACCTTTTCTCTTTATTCTATATTTAATTTTGTCTAACACTACTACTTCTGATACTTTATTACTGGTCTTGAAATAGTTTTGTTATGATTTAATGCCCGGATTTCGGTCACGTGACTTATCCACCAATCAGAACACGACTTATACAAATCTTCGCACTATGACAAAACCAATGACGTTCGACCGGTATGAGCAGCCTAGGGTCTTTATTGATCCGATGTTCGCCTAACCCGTCCACTTGAGTCCAAAACACCAATACCAGCTCCCATTATGCGAATCGAATCATTTGCTTCAGACATACTGGGTTTATATACCAACCAAACAGACTGCAACGTACCATAAAATAGGAAATAACATTTGTACACAATAAAGCCAAAAAGTGGTTGTGAACGTGAGAGGCAGTAGTCAGTAGACTGAACAGTAAATCGTACAATAATAAATTATAGGTCAAAATAAGGCTTATAATAAAGGGAATATAGATATACATAATCTATTTACTGAACAGTTATATGATAGGAATATATATATAATATTAGTCCATTAATAGGTCTGAGAAGTTACCCGTAATTTAATCTTCACTAGGATATAACAAGTTTTATATTCCTGTGTTGGTGTGTGTTTTGGCAACTTGAACCAAAGAAATGTATCAGGTTTTACGTTACGTGTGACTGAATAAATAGAACTAGTTCTATATTTATTGTCTTTATCAAAGAATGACTGGACTGATTGTTTCGATCTTAAAGTTGGACTTCTGAGAAACCACGACCTTCAACTCTAGCGGTAATCTTATTATCTTAGGGTTATAATCCAGTGTTTTTTTATTTCCTTTGCTTCTGCTAATGACCTATTCGGAGGGAGGATCACTCAATGCTTTTGATGCTTCGCATCTGTTTCACTCAACAAAGTTGCGTCAAATTAGACTGTTGAGTTCTGACTAACTAACCTACATGAAGGCTCACTACTTTCGACTTCATACGGAATATTGGGTAACCAACACTCAGATAAAACAGCTATATAGCACCCTCTGCTTTCGAATCATCAGTTGAGGTGGTTGATACGGATATTACGTCTATCCAACCATTTATATCAATCCACGAAGCTTTTGACTGTATGTCTAAGATACGTGAATAGGTATAGACTATGTGCTTAGTATCTGCGCGGTAACCCTGATCAGTGTTTGGAGATGTTAGCTGACATGCTTCAAAACCAGTCACAAGAAGCGAGGTGTAACTCATTAGTTTTCCAGTTGACTATGATTAAAACTCGTTCCAATATTTCAGTAATAATAGATTTAATTTGAACAAAGTTGAGTTACAGCAGCAGATAAAGAATCATTTTATTGATATAATAATCAATTATCACTTTGTAACCAATGTCGATTATATTGTTAACTAAAATATCTAAGCTTTTCTTAATATATGAATGTCGAAATATTCATCAAGTGTTTTTACGCTTTAGGAATTAACTGAAGTCCGACGACGTTTTGATCGAGCGCCTCAAGTTCTATATTCTCAGTCAGTACCTCCTAGTGAATTAGCTGGGACAGATGCAGCTGTCGGTGAAAATGTGGCGTATATTACATTTGGTAAGTTAGTTAAACGTGGATATATATATATATATATATATATATATATATATATATATATATATATATATAATGACAAAGCTATGTTGCATTATAACTGACGTCATCTGGTCAAGAAAACCCTACAGGGTTATAACCTTAACTCATAACACTTGCCCGTCTCCTAATATGCAAATAGATACGGTGGACCAATCAAAACTCAGCAAAAGTGTATATCACGTTGCACCAATCAGTTTACTGCTAATAACAAGTGTATACGATTGATCAAAAAACGGGTTCATTTTCTAAGAAACTGATACGTATTTATAAATGAGTGCTAATACATGTGGGTCAGAATAGCCCAACAAACTTCCTTCTTGCATTCTTAGCCTTTTTTTGTATAAAAAGTTTGTGTGTCAATATCAGTTGTATTTACCATGGTTCATAAGACAAACTTGGCCTTTTTCCTTTTACTGTAATGAGTAATTCAGCATGTTAAGGGTTAATGAGACATACCAAAACTATTATTCTATTGTAATCCTGTTGCTTTTTGTTGTCAATTGTTTTAGAATTGAACAGTGTTTCCTGATTGACCTAAAAATTCCCTTGAGGTCGTAAGTATAATATACTTTTACTCATAAATATACACATACGAATTATGATTTATGGCCACTAACTATCGGCAGCACGTGACAAAGCCATCAATCAGAGTTCTGATTTCTAGGACTTAGTTTTCCTGGGTTGACGATATACGCGTCCAATCACGATTAGTAACCCTAAGTCAACTGTTGATTTGTTATTGGTCCACTATTCTACAGCTTCTCTCTCTTTCTTGCCTTTAAGTCCACAAACTAGTAACTAACCTCCAGTTTTTATGTATTTCAAACAGATGTAGTTTATACACAAGCAGATCAGAGCGCATCATACAATAACGTAAATAACCATCATACATGATCAAACTGAAAAGTGGCTGTAAGTAGGGTAGACTGTAATGAACAATAGTAAATCGTATAATAGTAGTTAATGGATCAGATGAAAGCTTATGATAATAATAATTATTATACCATATGAACATATATATAATATTAGTCCTGGAAGTTGACATACCTTTAGCTGCCGTATTGATATAAAAATACGTCCATACATATGCATATACAAAAAGTGAATAAGATTAACACGTGAATACTTGGCAAGGATAAATACAAGTGTACAAAATAAATTCATGTAGGCGTCATAAACAGGAATCTATACAAGTCACTAAAAATTGTTTCCAAATATTTACAGGAAATCTACACAATTTATCTCTGTTATCAGATAAAGATTTAATAGTCTCCTTAAGCGATTTTAATTTATCTAACCCAGCTAATCTATGTAACATTCCTTTCAAGTATTTAGTATCTTGGGTTCGAAACCCTTAATCCACTTGATTTGGCTTAAGTAGAAAGATAGCATTTTCAGCCTTAAAAGTTTGGCAAATCTTTAATGATTTAAATAGTAATCATTTAAGTTTTATCTTCTCATGTGTTCTTTATTTATCGCTCTCTTTCTACAGTTCTATTTCCTCGACATCTTACACCACAAGCATCTCAACGTACCATCAATCTTATCCATATATTACGCAATTATTTACATTATCATATAAAATGTTCCAAAGGCTATATTCACCGAAGAATGCGTGCTAAAACATTTGAATTTATTAAAATTTTAAATCGTGCTAGACCACAATTTTATTGTTTAAATCCTGTTATACAAACTGGCACTTCTATGATGACAACAACAACATCGATGAAGTCAATTTCTTCAAATTCATTCATCACAGATAATAGCATTACAGACGGTGAAAATGGTATTGATAATCATAATAATAGTAGTAATGGTATTGATATTATTAATAATAATAATACCAATGGTAGTATTAATCCAACTATGCAGACATATCAAAAAAGTACAATGTCAGCAATGAAAGATACTGGATCAATGTCACAACAACATCAGCATTTATCAACAACATCAGTTCAACAAACACCACCATCCTCCTCCTCATCATCATCATATACAACTCCTCCTCCTCCTCAATCTTCAGATTTCATGCTCAATAATGGTTATATATAAAGTATTTTGAAAAAAAAGATGTATTTTAAATTTGTTTCCCACTCATTTTGTGTGAATGTATGTGTTTGTTCCTTCATTTTTACTTGTGCCAAACAATCTGAATACATTTACTAATACTATTAATACTAAGTAATATGTATACTGGGCTATTCATTATAGAACAAACTAAAAAATGACTTCCTAATATCAATTTATTAATAATAGTATCATATGCATAGAAAGAAAAGAACAGAGTTATTTCATCTCTTTCTCTCTCTCTGTTTATGTGGCTTAGTTAGATCAACTTCTTCCATAAACAATCACCATCATCTTTTTTGTTTTTTCTGATTGTGCATATGTGATAGGTAGTGTAATTGTGAATAGTTTCATTTTAATAATAACTCGACAAGGAAAAGACCTGTGATTTTATCTTAGTTACAACTTCATTTTCTACATTTGGATGTGTATGCCTAGATTGATTATGCATGTAAGTAATCTAAGATATATATATATATATACCTATGTATTTGAAAAATCCTTCCTTCATTCTCTTATCCATAAATCATATCTTCTGCATGGTATCATTCTTCATACTACATTATTACCGGTTTATTTTTTATTTATCCTTAGGGTTTACTGTATTGTAATATGTTTATCCGTCGTCGTCATCATCGTCTTTGTTGTTGTTGTTGTTGTTGTTACTGTGTTCTCTTCTTTAATCAAAAAAAAATATTGAAATACAAATGTTTGCTTTGTTTTGTTTTTCTTTACTCTATTCTTATTTACTTTTTAAATGTATTCACATTTTCTTTATCCAATTATCAATAGACGTTTGTTTATTTCTTGTTAATAAAACATATAATGAACATTATTAATTGTTATGAATAAGAAATGAATATGTATCAACATTGTACTTTATCTGCGGGATACAGTTGTTTCCTCTTCTTCTTCTTCTTCTTCTTCTTCTTCTTCTTGTTTCTATAATTGTCCTTATTATTATTATTATTATCTTGTAAAAGGTGTAGATGATTGTTTCTTAGTAACAGAATTTCCTACAATCCCTCCTATAAGAAAGAAATCAATTGAATTTTTGTAATATTGAATAATAGTATAGTAGTATAAAGCATTTATTAATGTTATTGTAAACATATACATTATTTACTATTATTATTATTATTATTATCAATAATGATATTACTTTATAATGATTATTAAATAAATGACTATTCATCTTAAATATTTCTCCTATGGAATTGTTTCTGATTGTTATATAATCTATTATTTTCTATGACCAGTATAGTTAACCGGATCAGTGATTTATTGAGGGGCTCCAGCTGGAGTCAATCATAGTAAAAAAGGTAAAAAATAAAATATTTTGAAACTAGCTACACAAAAATTTATTAATAGATATACTTACTTACTTATTTATGCCTGTTACTCCCAATGGAGCGTAGGCCGCCGACCAACATTCTCCAACCCACTCTGTCCTTGGCCTTCCTTTCTATTTCTATCTAATTTTTCTTCATTCCTCTCATGTATGTCTCCATTTCCCGGTGTAATGTGTTCTTTGATCTTCCTCTCCTCCTTTGGCCTTCAGGATTCCAAGTGATGAGGGCTTGACTTTTGACCCATTTGGGTGCTTTCCTTAATATGTGTCCTATCCACTTCCTGATTTATTCCTCCACTCAAATCTGGTTTGTTCTCTCCCATAGTAGGTTGTTGCTAATGGTGTCCGCCCAACGGATCCGAAGTATTTTGCGTATACAACCGTTAATAAACACTTATATCTTCTGAATGATGGCTTTCGTACTTCTCCAACTTTCCACCCCATACAGTAGAACTGTCTTGATATTTGTATTGAAAATTCTGATCTTGGTGTTGGTTGACAGACAGTGGTTTTGAGTTCCAGATGTTCAGTTGTAAATATGCTGCTCTCGCTCTGCCGATCCGTGCCTTCACATCTGCATCAGATCCACCGTGTTCATCAATGATGCTGCACAAATATGTAAAGGTTTGTAAATCTTCCAAATCTTCTCCGTCAATTGTGATTGGATTGGTGCATGCTGTGTTGTCTCGGAGAATCTTGCTTTTCCCTATGTGCATATTGAGACCTATTGCTGCTGAAGCTGCAGCTACACTGGTCGTCTTCTCCTGCATTTGTTGTTGTGTATGCGATAGAAGAGCCAGATCATCTGCGAAGTCTAGATCATCCAACTGCATCCTAGATGTCCACTGTATCCCGTGCTTCCTTTTAGATGTTGACGTCTTCATGATCCAGTCGGTCACCAACCAGGAGAAAGAGAAAGGGTGAGAGTAAACAACCTTGCCTGACACCGGTCTTTACTTCGAACGACTTTGTCAACTGTCCTCCATGAACGATTTTGCAGTTTAATGCATCGTAGGAATTCCGTATGATATTGACTATCTTCTCAGGCAAGCCGTAGTGTCGAAGAAGCTTCCATAGTGTTGTTCTGTCCACGCTATCAAATGCTTTTTCGTGGTCATTGATGTTGATGTAGAGTGATGAATTCCATTCAATTGATTGTTCCACAATGATCCGTAGAGTTGAGATTTGGTCTGTACACGATCTATCTTTACGGAATCCTACCTGTTGGTCTCGAAGTTGGGTGTTTACAGAGTCCTTCATCCTGTTTAACAATACCCTGTTAAAGACTGAGTATAACTGAACAACAGTAAATCGTACAATAATAATCTATAGATGAAAATGAAGCTTATAATAAGGATAATATAGATATATATAATCTAATTACTGAATAATTATATCATAAGAATATATAGATAATATGAATCCATTAATAGGTCTCAGAAGTTACTCGTAATGTAATCTTCACTAGGATATAACAATTGATAAGATCATTTTTACGTTAATAAAGTCAATAATCTGTATAATGTAGTCCAAGATATCTTAATAACTGATTTGATTCATATAATAGTTTCTATGATCCTTAATAATCAATTAGAATACTAGAACTATTCACTAAATTACTTTCTTATATTTTCATTAGTTATTATAATTCGAAGATTTATATGATATAATATACAACAGTTAAGAAACATTCTACAAATAAGAAACTACTATGTACATAACTAAATTAGTTATGATATAAAACTGATCTTACAATTACCATCCCTAGGACAACTCTGTCCTAGGCTTCCTCTTTAGGTTGTTGCCAAATGCTATTCATTCGTTTGATGTCTCCCTCCAATTCTTGGCACAATCTGTTCTTTAGTCTGGGTTTTTCTGTGTGAAATGGAGTTGTTAACACCATACCTTTATTCAGGCTTGGGATAGGAAGTAACTCTAGAAGGGTTACAGGCAGAGTGATGATATAAAACGGTAATTTTTGAACAGTAAATTCTCTATCAACAGTGAATGTATTCAAATGAAAGTTCAGAATTACTGCAATATAGAGAATAAAAAAAAATAGATATAATTATTTATCACAGGATGCTTCTTAAAGTTCCTTTTTAATCTTCTCTCCAGTCTCTGTGCTTGTCTGGCAACTTCTAAAGATATTCATCCATGTAATCTAAATTAACGATATCTGTTCATTGTGTATTCATTACATGTTATAATTATTAGTATAATTAATTGCCATTGTAGTGAACGAGAACTGAGGTAGGGAAGATCAATTTATTGGTTAGTGCAAAATTACAATGTCCTCATAAGTTATGAAAACCATACATTAAATACTTCATTTGCACATCTTCCATCAGTTGTCTATTAAAGAATTCATTGTTCCTACATTCCTGTTTTTATTACAATTATTCAGTTTTCTTCAATTTGAGCTCAATCTTCTGCTACCTGACATTCTACTTCAGATTGGTGTTATATACTACATATATCTGTCAACATAAGTAGCATACACTACACTGCCTATTGAATTGACTGAAGTAATATTCTCTTCAAAACAAATAATCTACCATAAAATTCTAAATGATGACATGTTTTATAAAACGAAACTACTCATTACCTGATTGCCATTTACTTACAAATTACTATACTAAAGTAGTATGATCAAGTTATTGATCAGATAAATGACTGGTCAATAATACAAATAAGTGTCAGATGGGAATCAAATGTTTGTTCAGTTCTCTCGTCATGATACTACATACTCGATTATTATAGCGTTGTCTTTTACCCCTGTCAATTATCACGTGACAGAATCGCCGATCAGAATACCGACTTATATGACTTTGTTCCTATGCTAAACCAGTAACACGTCAATCAGTACTAGCTATCTTCTGTCAACTCAGAATCTGTATTGTTCCTTCTCGCCTAGCCCTGCCCATTTAATCCAGAACACGATCTCAGCCTCCACTGTATGAATAATATATTTCAGATTATGTAGTTAATATACAAGCAAACCAGACTGTATCACACCATAAAATGAAAAATAATACTTATACAAGATCAGTCCGAAAGTGGTTGTGAATGTGAGGGACTGTAACTAATAAATTGGGAATAACTTGAAAATAATAAATCGTATACTAGTGGTCAATAGGTCAAATGAACGTTTATAATAAAAGGAATATGAATATATATAATAACAGTCTATAAACAGTTCCCGGGAGTTACCAATAATTTAATCTTCGGACACAACAATAGTGCATTAGGCATGTGCAACATTGCTCTCAAAATGGTAACATTGAATCTAATGTAAACTTTTGTGTCTAGGAAAAAATAAGTTCAGTGATCGTTATAAATTTTATCTACACTTGATGATATAAGTCAAGAGACCATTTCACAAAGACACTTCAACGATGACAACTGTATATAAGTGAAACTAAAAAAAAATTGAACTTCTGAAGAAAGGTTTACCGATTGTCAAGAAGCTACATCAATCTAAGGGTATATTTCATTTCACATAATGTTCTTATTGAAATACTAATTTATGCAAACCAGACACATTATTCAATGTTTACTTTTTATCAATGTCAACTATAGAGTTATTGCAAGTGACTGTCGAGTCTATATAAAACTGTAATTTCTTATGAATTATTTGTCTAAACTTTCATAGTTCTTAGTCTTGACTATAACAGTTTCATTTTCAATGAACCAAATTCAAAATGTTCTGATATCATTCAAAAGTGTAAATAAACGATGATTCCTTATCCAAAATGTAAATAAAAGATATCTACCTTTTCACTGGTTGAAATCATGAATCCATTGAAGCTAGACCACCATGGAAAACCTGGAAGCACTGGACGGCCGTTTCGTCCTAGTATGGGACTCCTCAGCAGTGCGCATCCACGATCCCGCTCCTCGCGAGATTCGAACCCAGGATCTATCAGTCTCGCGCCAGGCGCTTAACCAACTAGACCACTGAGCCGGCCGGCATCCAACGGTGTTAATGTCTAACTTCAACCAATCCACGAAGTTGCGCCACCGTACACCATTGTCTTCAGTGAGCTGATATCTCAATGCTTCCAGGTTTTCCATGGTGGTCTAGCTTCAATGGATTCATGATTTCAACCAGTGAAATTTCTAAAATCTCCACACAATCCCTTCTGATAATATCTACCTTTTATCTGAATGAATAGTTCTTTACTTATTATTGTGATCTGCTTAAAATTTCATTACTCATAATATTTTCTAACAGTATAAGTTATCTCACGTACAAAATTAACACAAAAATTATTATTCATTTGACCTTATAATCATTACAATAAATAACAATTTACTGTGAATCAATACTAATGTGTATAGAATATATGGTTTAATCATGAATTATTGTACTAAACTATGATAAAATGAAGTCTGTTATAAATTACAATACTGTACATTAAAACATAAAGAGATAGCACAGTGAATAGAGTTCTCGTTTATAAACCACTAGGTGATAATTCTAATCTACTTATTTCAGTTTTAGAAACTGGATAATCTTAATAAAGACTGCACTTAAAGTATAATCTCAAAGCCCCTAATACATGATTTTGTATTGATTATATGAACAACATCGAAATATGTAATAGGAAGAAAACAATACTAATAATAGTATAAATTCACTAGTTAAAGACTAAAGAAACACATAATAAAAATTTCACTAGTTGAAATCATGAGTCAATTGAAGCTAGACCACCATGGAAAACCTAGAAGTACTAAAAATCTCCACAAAACCCCTTCAGATAATAATCATCTGTGCACTAGTGACTTAATTCATATGGCATTTCCTGGAATTCTAATGAGAAGCTGTTACCAGTCTGTTATGAGATATCAGCTCACTGAAGACAACGATGTACGGTGGCACAACTTCGTGGATTGGTTGAAGTTAGACACTAACACCGTTGGATGTCGGCTTAGTGGTCTAATGGTTAAGCACTCATGCGCGAGACTGATAGGTCCTGGGTTCGAATCTGGTGAGGGGGAGCGGGACCGTGGATGTGTACTGCTGAATAGTCTCAAACTAAGACGGAACAGCCGTCCAGTGCTCCCAGGTTTTCCATGGTGTTCTAGCTTCAATTGACTCATGATTTCAACCAGTGAAATTTCTAAAATCTCCACACAATCCCTTCTGAACATAACAGAAATGCTAGAAATTTGCCTGTATTACAGATTAATCAAAATCTAAGTCATCTGTACTGATTTTTTTAGAAAATAATATCAATCTCCAAGTTAGTATGTTGACTATTTTTTATAGTCATTAAGAAAGTCTACAATTCACGTGATAGTTAAGAAAGAGTTACTGATGTTTTCTATAAGTTGATTTCACATCTTCATAGGATAGGTGATACAGTTTTCACTGTTAAGTATATCTTGGACATTACACATCTGCCAATATTATTTAGGAACATATGTCTCGTTAAACTCCAGTAACGTAATATACTGTTGCTATAACGTGCGATGTCCACCTGAGCTAGAAATCTCCGCCTGAACAACTGGTACTGATACACGCTTCTTATATGAAAATCGCCAACAGGCTATTTAATGGGGAGACTCAAAGTGGGAGCTTATTGGACTAATCTGGTTCACATGCATGAACATTCATTTATACATTATTGGTCAACCACTTGTATTTGTCATTAGGAGAGTTTTGATTAGCGCAGCATCGTTTTCTCATTTAGTGACTTTTGATTGGCCCAATGTGTCAACAGTAATATACAGCTTACGAAAAAAGCTTATAGTATATTACCGATACATACATTACAACTGATTGGGTGGAAATGGATAAGTTAGCGTAATTCGCTTTGACCCTGGCCCAATTGTCAGAAATATATTTTACTAAGAACAGACTTAACCTTTCCCAACTAACATCTTTTGTGAAGATTATCAAGCATCTGATGGATTCATACGTAAAACACTTTAATTAGAACAGATTATCAACCCTAAGGACAATTATTTATTTAAGTTGAAAGTGTAGTGTAGAGCGAATCAATCAGAACCGAAACTTTACTTCAGTTTTTGCACAAAACTCAATAATGGATTACTTTTATCGCTCATTGCATAAAATCCCAAATACAAATGCCTTTCTAAGATATTGAGGAGGTTTAAAGTTGATAGAAACATCTTTTAGTCGTCATACATTAAAAAAGGCAAATTGGTGAGGCCATAATTGGTGGACGACCTTTGAGCGATGTTTAGGTGTTCTTGATGATGTTCACCTACTTACTAGTGTTAAACGAGGTTTGTAAATTGACATGGATAATTAGGATTTACAACTGAATGACAGGGCTAGGAGTTAGAGTCAGGGTTTTCATCATGAACTGACATCAACTATAATAACAAAATGCTATATATATATATATATATATATATATATATATATATATATATATATATATATGAGATTAAAATTATTTCATATCTTTCTTTCCTTTATTTATTACACCGTTGAGTTAACTGCTTCTATGAATCCGGTGTTCATCTTGCTGTGCTAATGAAGTATAGCAACTTGGACCGATACATATATGTGTCTGGTGCTATGTTGTAGCTGACTGACTCTTAATCATGAAACAAACTTTAACTTAGTGACATTACATTTTATGAATGAACGAATCAAACAAGATCTCACAGATTTTTGAACGAAATCCATTTAGCCGAATTCCCATGGAACATTTCTTTTATTGTAGCTGATAATATTAATTTGTAATGAAGATCTTAGCACTTAAACAGTTAATTCTAATCTTAACTAGGAACAATATGAAAACTCTTAAGATATTCAACATAAAGGATAAATATCAGAAGGGGTTTTGGGGAGATTGTAGTGATTTCAATCATTAAGATCATGAGTCAGTTGAAGCTAGACCACCATGGAAAACCTGGAAGCACTGGACGACCGTTTCGTCCTATTGTGGGACTGTATATTCCATTTGGGAGACTTTATGTCATTATCATTTTTATTTGTAAAGAGATTCATGATGTGAAATCTGTTTAAATTTTTGTAATATTATTATTTTCTTTTCTTTATTTTTGTGTATCTGTATGTGTGTGTGTGATTGACTAAAGAAACTAGGTACTACTCTTACCATCGACTATGTATTACGTCATAGAGGAACAGTTGGAATTCATCAATACAAAAGCAAACAAAAAAATTATATATAAAATCATATAAAAACAAATTGATGCATTTTATATAAATGGTAGTATAGAAAACAAAAGGCACTAGAGATATACTGGCAGAGATTACAATAATATTAGTAAAGACAGACACACACACATACACACAGAGAGAGAGACAAGAAACTAATATTAATCGTTGACAAACTGTAGTCCAACCTCGTTATAGATAAAACAAAAATCAGCATATATCCATCTAGAGAGATGGATAGAAAGACAATAAAAAAACGTTTTCATTGTAAAGAAAACAAAACTAACAAGATAATCACATACAGAGTAAAAGTCATGGTTATTTATTGAGAACAAAAAAAAAAAAAGAAAAGAATAAAGATGATACAGAATAATACAATTGGCAAGATTCATTTACTGTAATATCGTTATCATCACCGGATGATCAACCAAAGACAAGTATGTGTGTGTGTGTGTATAGATAGTTGTTTTTCAAGCACCATTTATTTGTTGTATATGTGGAAATTCATTTATTAATATAGTTAACAAATAATACTAAAATAGGTGTGTATGGAATGAAGCCTTTAACTGTTATACTCAATTAAGTAATTGAAAATTAATCCCCATTTAGCTATTCAATGTAATGTTTAACAAGATGAGATTACAAAGAAAAACAAAACAGTCACAAAATAATTGTAAACATCTCTCTCACTTTCTCTCTCTACATATATATATACTTGTTATAGGCAGGAATGATGAGCAATCAGAGGAATGTGTTTCTTCTCGATAGAAAAAAAACGATGGTGGTATACAGTGTGAAACGAGCAAGTGAATTGAAATTATTAAATGATAATACGACAAACAAAAAAAGAATATAACAGGCATGTTGTGCTCTATGTCTCATTTTTTTTGTCTTCCAGTTTTTCATCAACTTTCACATATTGCTTACTCATGGTATTCGTTCTATATCAATGATAGAATGAACTATGACAATGATTAATGAAGAGAATGAAACAACAACAACAATAATAATAACGAAATATCACCAACTGGAAGGAATGTGTCAAAAAGATTTTTTTTAAAAAAAAGAGTACCGAACAAGCAAGCAAGCGCATACGAGAGAGAGAGAGAGAACACCCCCCCTTGGATGGAAGAACAATTAAAGCCAGTAAGATATTTAAAGTAATCAAAGAGAAAAAAATAGGAAGTGGGGGGAGGAAGGTGGCAACAAAAATATAGACATATAACTTGAAAAAAGTATATAATATTTGTATATATATATAAAATAAAGTATTCATTATTATTATTATTATGATTATGATTTCAAAATATCGTTGTTGTAACTATTCTTCTAATATCAATGAATTAATTAATAAACATCTATCATTGATATTAACAATTAAGAAAATTTCTATTCTTAAAAAATATAATAAAATATCAAAATGAATAAAATAGAGAATAACAAGAAAAAGAATAATAATACAAATAATAAAAGAAATTAACGTTGAAAGAATTTTTCTTTTTTTTTGTGTGTGTGTTTTTCTTCTCCTATAATCAATAAATTTATTGATTGATTGATTGAAAATATTAACCTGTACGCATTGTTCGACTCCTAAAAGAAAGAAAGAAAGAAAGAAATTAAATATGAATTAATTACTAGAATTTGTTGTTGTTTGAATGTTCCCATTGATGTTTAAGACTGAGATTGATCAGTACATATTGCCTCACTATTGCTTGTCAATTAAGGATATATCGAGGCAATACGCAGCACAGTATGCATATATGCCAGTAACACACTGATTAATTGCATTCCTAAACATAAATGGGAAAATTCAAGTAAAATAATACCAAGTGAATTTAAACTTCGCTCTATTGCACAAGCAAGTGGCTATCAGGATTCAGTAGTTCAGTGGATAACGCGATGGAGTTTGAAGCGAATTGTACTGGGTTCGAGTCCCAGAGTGAACATCAACTCTGCGATGCAACTACATTCAGCTGAGGAGTCTTAAATAGAACAAAGTGGCGCGCGTCCTGAATTCCACTGCTAACCACTATCAATCATTGCTTACAATGCTTATGATTTAAGGCGATACGCATAGTATGCACATATACCAATGAGAGACTGATCGATGGGTAGATTCAAACGAACAATACAAAAATAAAGTATATTATTCTTATTATGTAGTAAGATAGTATCCAGAAATAAACATTCATAGTATATATATCAGCAAAGGTTTGAGTTTTCCCTTTATTAGCCAGTCTTTATTGATAATAAACGCATTCTGAGCGAACTGCTTCGATATTGACTTTTATACATAAGTTTAATATTGGTTGATAGTGAAGTTCAGCGCTCATGGTTCATCCTATATAGAACACGTCAGATGAGTGTATTTGCATTTCAGTGCTGATATCTACACTGGAACCAGTTTTTCTTGTTTCAAAAAAGGGTAAAAACGAACTCATACAAATGAAATTTATACTTGTTATATAAAACAATGATTATTTGGACTTAACAGCTCAATGGATAATGCATTGACATTAGAAGTAAGACGTACTAGGCTCGAGTCCCGAAGTGTACACAAAACCTTGGATATGGCATGTATATCCACATGACAAGCCTCAACTAGATCTAAACTAGATCTGAACTTCAATGTTAACCGCTATTCAAATTTAAGAAAAATATACATATACAAGGAAAAATATGATAACTATTCTACCCTTCATTCACCATCACAACTAACTAACCCTAGAAATTGGATGTTCAGAATGCTAAGATTAGGCATAGAAATATATTTTGTTGAACTAATTAACCATATCACATCAGAACAATCAAATCAAGAATTCTCTTAGCAATTATTGTGCATACCACTTTAGTGTTAATCAATAAACACTAATAATAGTAATAATGGTAATAATAATGATAATAATGAAAGTTGGTGAATTTCTTCAGAATTAAACATTCAAATAAAGTACATTTCAAAGTTTTCTAGCACATAACTACTAATCAGTTATTCCAATATTTTATGCTTAAATTTAAATCAAAATGAAATTTAGCGCAAACAATGAAGTTACTCAGGTGATTGGAAGCAGGCTGAACAAAAAACCTGGTTTTGTACTAGTTCATACTCATCACACTAAAACGTGTCTGCACGTTTGAGAGATTTGATGCTTCCTATGAGGTTCGAACTTTTACCACCCAGATTCATAATCTAGAGAGTTATAACTGAGCTATTCGGGTTGGGATTGACTTCCTTTAAAACTAAGGTATTTACAATCGATTGATCACTCTGAGTATTGACGAACCTAACACTTGTTTACTATTTTAGTGCTGCTCAAATCCTATAGATCAAATACTCAGGAATGACCTAAATGCTGAATAGAGTGAAAAACTATTAAAAAGATATGAAATATTGCTAGACAACTGTTTTGTTTTTCAATTTCACACAATTAAACAATATATGAAACTTAGATGGGATCAAATAATGCAAAACCTTTTATGTTTTTATTCAAAGAATACAAAAACCGATCAGTCACATAATCGCGAAAAGAATATGGGCTGGGATACTGCTCGGGTGCCCAAACTGAAGCAGGTGGTTTTCTTAGGGGGCCACACCCCGAGCCTTTGACCTGAAGATCTGATCCACAAGGCAGTGGAACATCGTAAGGAGATGCAGTCCCATGGTAGCCGGTGACCAACGATTGGTTCATACGCCATTTGTTCCCGCAGGATACTGGAGCCCATGTGCACCATTGGTTCGGGATCCGGTTATAGCGCCGGACGTTCGCTTTCCGTCCTGCCATTTTCGTAAACAACACCTCCGTCACGAGAAGGCAGTGAGTAGGACTTTCCTGGCAGAGGCTATATACGCGTGGCCGTGTGAAAGTATTTCGAGAGGGAGGGAGAACCCACCCCATTCTCGGCCATACCAGGGCATTTGGGGGCTCACATAATCGCAATTGAATGTGATTTTAGTCAATTCATTATGTAAACATATACGTAAACAATACATAGTCTAGCACAAATATATACATATTGAAGCCTAGGAAGTCACCACATCACATCAACACAGAAACAGATGAATCAGAAAAAGGAAAACTAATGTCAGTACAGTGATGATGGATCCATATTGCACAAAGCTTTCAAGTACTTCAAGAACTCCACAGAACCAAGAAACTTAAATATTTACTTACACCGTATTCACACTAACGGTTAATTGCTTCATGGTCCAATCCTATATCTCAGCCTAGTGGTCATACTAAGCCTTTAGTCCTGACTCTCCCTACCTTCTTGTCTTATATCCTGGGAAGTATAGACAGCTGAGTTATAAATGATTAAGTATATAGAATTTTTCAAACTACTCAGTGAATAAAGCAACTATGTGTGACGTAACTTATTTATTTGCCAAATATAAGTGTGTTTATGTAGTCGACATGTTATAACGTGTGATCCGCCTATTAGAGAGCAGCCTATTATCGATCGAAACAGTGACGCATAAAACACGAGCGAGCAGCCTAGAGTCCTGATTGGTCCTGCTTCCCTGTCTAGCCCAGCCAATTGAGTCCAGAACACAAGTCTCAGCCTCAGAGATATGAATCGTTATATTCCAAACATACACTGTTTATATAGCAATCAAACAGACTACATCGTACCATAAAATAGAAAGTAACATTTGTACAAGATTTAACCTTCAGGAAATGACGCAAATAAATATTGACCAATAGGGAAACGACACGTTGGAAGAATGTTGACCAATGGGGAAATGACACTACTTCTCATTCAGGAATAGCATTAGATAATTTCTGGGGTATTTTCTGAATACCCCAACACGACATTAAGCTACGACGTTTGTATAATGGCTATTTGACATCAGCCCCCAAATGCCCTGGTATGGCCGAGAGTGGGGTGGGTTCGCCTTTCCTCTCGAAATACTTTCACACGGCCACGCGTATATAGCCTCTGCCAGGGAAGTCCTACTCACTGCCTTCTCGTGACGGAGGTGTTGTTTACGAAAATGAGAGGACGAAAAGCGAACTTCTGGCGCTATAACCGGATCCCGAACCAATGGTGCACATGGGCTCCAGTATCCTGCGGGAACAAATGGCGTATGAACCAATCGTTGGTCACCGGCTACCATGGGACTGCATCTCCTTACGATGTTCCACTGCCTTGTGGATCAGATCTTCAGGTCAAAGGCTCGGGGTGTGGCCCCCTAAGAAAACCACCTGCTTCGGTCTGGAAACCCGGGCAGTATCCCAGCCTACACACAAATATAATGATAATGAAAATTATGATATTCACTGAAAACTATTCTCGCTGCGATTTACTGTCAAACAATTCACATTATCATTATTATTATGTTATTATTATTATTATTATTATTATTATTATTATTATTATTATTATTATTATTATTATTATTATTATTTACCACGTCATTTACTCACTCTCCTTCATTCCCACTCTGTCTATCCTTATTTTCGACTTATACAGCAGCTCACCTATGGTGGACATTCGGACTCTATCTAAACGTTCTCGTGTCACTGCCCGGTTGAAAATTGTATGTTACCATCGAATACGAGTACTGAAGCAGTCTTTCTGAAACCACGCGCACCATTCAAACTGGCTGCCTTTAACGTTCGCACACTTATGCAGGTCGGACAACAGATAGGGCTGGCAATGTCTTTGGAAAGTCTTAATATTGACGTTTATTGTCTATCCGAGACCCATATTCAAGACTCTGGTGAAGTATTACAAATTCGTTCTCCATCTGTCACTTCAAAAAGCTTGTTCTACGTGCGTTTATCCGGGGACCCTGTGGCATCTTCGTTTGGTCTTGCTGGCGTTGATGTCGCACTAAGCGCTAGAGCTGAGGCAGCACTAATCGATTGTATCCCCATTAACAGTCGGTTATGTGCTGTTAGATTAGAAATTTCCATCAAAGTGAGAAGAATTCGGCGTGAGAAACGATGTCTTTTCGTCATCTCCGCCTATGCCCCGACAGATTGCAGCCCGGATGCAATCAAGGATGAGTTCTACCACCAGTTAACTGTTCTTCTCCAGAAAGTGCGTTCGACAGATATTGTAGTACTAGCCGGAGACTTGAATGCTCAGGTCGGGCGTCTAGGCACAGAAGAGAGTCACTTAGGTGGCCGATGGGGACTCGTTGGTCGCAAGACAGAAAACGGGGAACGTCTACTGCAACTATGCACAGACCACAACCTGTTTCTGGCAAGCACTAACTTTCGGCACAGTCATCGCCGATGTGCCACCTGGCGTCCCCCTTCTGCATCTTAAGCCTGGACTCAGATTGATCACATCGCGATCAGCTACCGCTGGCGTGGTTGTGTACAAGACTGCCGCTCCTTTTGGAGTACCTATCTGGAATCTGATCATGCCCTAGTCTGCGCCAATCTTACCTTACTTTTTAGTGGACAACGAAATGACCGCCACCAAAGGATTGATGTTAGCAAGCTGGCTGCAACTTCTGTTGCTAGTAAGTACCGAACCGAGCTAGCTTCTAGGCTAGCTAGCATTCCACCGAAAAGTATAGATGAGCATTGGTTGCAATTGCATGACGCCATGAAAATGGCGGGTACAGTCTATTGTGGGTTCGCGAAACGTCCCACTTATAAGCATTGGGTTTCTTCTGGTTCCTTACAACTGATTGAAGCCCGTCGGTCTACTCCGGGTGACCGTGAGTATGACCACAAACGAAGAATGTTACGTAATGAAATTGGGCAAAGCTTGCGTAAGGACCGTGAAGCCTGGTGGTCGGAGCGTGCCAGTGAGTTGGAAGCAGCAGCTGCATCTGGTAATTACCGGAAGCTCTTCCAACTCATCCGAGCCACTGGCAGCAAGAAGTCTGGTGTGAGCGAAACAATCTGCGAGAATGACGGAACGCCAATCACTAACATCTATCGACGTCTTGGACGATGCGCAGAATTTTTCGAAGGGCAGTTCAACTGGCCTGCTGCTCCGGCAACATCGGTCAGACTGTCTTGCCCTCCATGGCCGGTGACGACTGATCCACCAAATGAGGCGGAAGTCCGCAAGGAACTCCAACTCTTGAAACGTTACAAATCACCGGGCCCAGACGACTTACCTCCGGCTCTTTTTAAAGATGGTGGTGACTTTCTGACTAAGGGACTGACGACGTTGTTTACAAAGGTCTGAGAACTAGAGTGTGTACCAACGTCATGGAATGAGTCGATAGTTGTCCCTATCTTTAAAAAGGGTTCACGTCGTTCCTGTAACAACTATCGTGGGATAAGTCTACTTCCAATTGCGTCCAAGCTATTGGCTTCCGTCATACTTCGTAGGTTGTTCAGAACCCGAGAAAGATTGACTCGCGAGGAGCAGGCTGGGTTTCGTTCTGGTCGAGTATGTATTGATCATATCTTCACCCTCCGCCAAATATTGGAACACCGTCATACTTATCAAATGCCAACAATCGTAGTGTTTCTTGACATCAAGGCTGCTTTCGATTCGTTGGACAGAACTGTTCTCTGGGATTGTCTATTGAAGAAGGGTGTGCCTGAGAAGTTTATTAACATCCTAAAAGCCCTATACACAAACACCTCAGGCAGAGTGAGGGCATACAACCACCTTTCTCCACTATTCCATTCGAGCAGTGGGGTTAGGCAGGGTTGCCCAATCTCACCATTCCTCTTCAACTTTGCCATCGATGACATTCTGGAAACAGCTCTGATGAATGTAAGTAATGGTGGTGTAGATCTGTTGCCTGGAGAAAGACTTCTCGACCTTGAGTATGCGGATGATATTGTCTTACTGTGCGAGAATGCCCAAGCTATGCAATCCGCACTTAATCAGTTGGCAATCAATGTCCGTAGGTATGGTATGTGCTTTGCACCTTCGAAGTGCAAAGTACTTCTACAAGATTGGCAGGATTGTAATCCTGTACTCACTCTGGACGGTGAGCAGATAGAAGTAGTCGAGAAGTTCGTGTATCTAGGTAGCTGTATAAGTGCTGGTAGTGGCGCGAGTGATGAGATCAATGCACGTATACTGAAAGCCAGAGCGGCTTATGCCAATCTGGGCCATCTTTGGCGCCTTCGTGATGTTAGTCTGGCTGTGAAAGGTCGGATCTACAATGCGTCGGTGAGAGCAGTTCTGCTCTATGCTTGTGAAACCTGGCCTCTCCGAGTTGAGGATGTTAGACGACTCTCTGTGTTCGATCATCGCTGTCTCCGAAGGATTGCTGACATTCAGTGGCAACATCATGTTAGTAATGCAGAGGTTCGGCATCGTGTGTTCGGGCACAGAGACGATAATGCAATTGGTGTCACCATCTTGAAACACCGACTTCGGTGGCTTGGACATGTTCTACGAATGTCGTCCCAGAGAAGTCCTCGTCGTGCATTATTTGCCGACTCTGGGACCGGTTGGAAAAAGCGGAGAGGTGGTCAGTATATGACATGGTGTCGTGGTATGAAAGAAAGCTGCAAAGGGCTGGCTTCTGTTGGTCCTTCACGACTCCCTGGCTGGGGTCCTAGAGATGGTGTAACACAGTGGCTAGAGACGTTATCAGATATGGCTCAGAATAGAAGTCAGTGGCGATCCTGCTGTAACCTTCTTTTAATTTCTTCGTAAAGAGTGGTTGCTTCTCCCTTAACTGTAAGATTTCTTCTGATTGTACCTTTTCGTTTCCCCCATTTTTGTTCTTTTTTTTATATAGATATTCCCTACGTTCCTTACCGTTCTTTTTCCATTCTCCTTAAATTCTCATTGTTTTGTGTGGCGCATATATATTTGGTGCCCCCCTGTACCAATATTTATGTGTTTAAATAAAAAATAAAAATAAAATACTTGACATTAGAATTGACTATCAAAATCAAATGAGGTGAAAATGAGTTCGAAGCTTTGAACACCTGTTGGCGTTTAAAGTCAAAAACTTCAACCAGAACTACACTACTGAGCTACTACTAATCGATGAAGAGTCACAATTTCATTCATAGAGACATCTTTGTTAGTATTTTAGAGACCTAACAAAAACAAACTGATTTAGCACTTAAACAAACACATAGACACAAAGACAAAAAACATAATAACATACATATTATCACTTTGTATACCACCGACTTTGTTCACTGATGGTGAAATAGGTATGAGTTCACCAGAAGCAGCCGTAATATTGGTATTAATCACAGTATTTGTTGGATGTTCAATATGAGCACGGTTGAGTACTTTCAAGAATTCCACTGTTTTAGCACGCATACGCATTTGCATATAAGCTTTGGAACATTTAATATGGTAGTGTAAATAGTTTCTTAATGTTTGTATTAGATCGATGGTAGAATTACGCGCAGATTCAGTTGATAAATGACGCGGAAAAAGCACTAGGATTTAGAAATATGTACATAACAGGATAAGTAAAACTAATGACTATTATCAATATCAAAAATATAGAGAGGAATTATAAAATGGATGTTTTCCCAATTCATGTATACCGATAGGTATATTACAACAGGCGGTACCTTAGTAATTTACAAACACAAGCTTCCAAAGTTGAGTCATTCACTGATTTTATGACAGTCTGAAAAGCTGAATAGTATTTGTAGCCCTAAAAGCTCCAATGTACAATTCTATGCGTGATTAATGGAAATAATGCAGACAACCAGGAATGCATCCATCGGTCAATAATATAAAACAGACATGGTAAGTATGCTGTTTCATTTTGAAGACTACATAAAAATATTATTGAAACCATGAAAAGATCCAAGTTAGACAATCATCGGAAACTTGGGGTCACTTGACGGCTATTCCGTCCCAGTATAGGAGACTTGAGCAGTTCGTATCCGAAACCTTAAAACTGGGGATCGAACCCGGGACTTTCGGTCTTGCACAAGAACGCCTCACCTCTAGACCACTAAGCACAAGGATTCAATGACACAAGTCCAAATCCAATCGATTCAAGATGTCGCGCGACCGTCTTTCATTGCCTTCGGTAGGTACCTTACACGTGACACGGTTGAACTACACTGGAGTCAATAGTAAGCAATGGATAACTTTGAGTATGGAGTTTTGGGGATTATTCAGTTTCATCATTAAGATCAAGAACCGATACAAAGAGGAGTCCTATACTAGAACAGAACGGTCGTCCAGTACTTCCAAGTCTTCAATGGTTGTCGAACTTAGGTCGGTTTGTGATTTTATTAAAATTTAACAATCTCCACAACTCTATAATGGCAATATGTACTTTTTAATTTTAAAAACAAACCCAATTTTTTTACTGACTGATGGGAGCCCTTAAGATTCATTTAAAATCTAGAAAAAAAACTGAAAAGATTTCGTCCAATTAACGTTCTTAGAGTTCTAAAGAAACAATAGATTATGTAACGTCCTGTTTGATTTAATAGCTGCCTTTGTTACCAAATTTAGAATTTCCCCTGAAGCTTCTAGAATATCACGCTCGAACAAAACCTAAATCAGCCTTCGGTGTTAAACTTTTTCATACTCTCCGGCCTTTAGTCTTTAGTTCGGAGTTCGAATGTCAGGGATAATATTATTTTTATTTTATTTTAACACATAAGTATAGGTACAGGGAGGCACCAAATACATATGTGCCACACAAATCTCAATTGATTTGTGTGAGGGCTGTGATACTGCCCGGGTGCCCAAACCGAAGCAGGTGGTTTTCTTAGGGGGCAACACCCCGAGCCTTTGACCTGAACGTCTGACCCACAATGCAGTGGAGCATCGTGAGGAGATGCAGTCCCATGGTAGCCGGTGACCAACGATTGGTTCATACGCCATTTGTTCCCGCAGGATACTGGAGCCCATGTGCACCATAGATAATAGGGAATTGGCGAACGGTTAATAAGTCAGTATCAAGTCTTTAAGTATTAGAAGTATCATTAACATAAATACTGTTTATATGATGTTTCATTTTTTGTAAAAGGTGAGCGACTGAATGTTCATTCTAAGGTGTACACACCTTTATAGTACTATTGGTTTTTGCGGTAGATTATCTGTAACTCAAAGGTATCCATACCAAGGTTGAACTTGATAGTTTCAAATAAATCGAGCATTGGGAAGAGAATTAATAATAAATATATTTTTGTTATATCCCAATGAGTAGAAATATTGTATATCTGGCGTTTTGTGACTGAATGTAAGCTACTTCTTCAGAGTAAATAAATAACCGACATTCAGAGAACTATACTGGGAAATAAAAAGAGGCATTCAGTGCTTCCAGATTTTCAATAGTGGTCTAACTTAGATCAGGTTGTGATTAAATTTCGGATTCAATAATCATCACAATCCCATACTGAAAATACAGTTTTCATGCATAGACATATATATATGCAATGAAAGACAGAAATTGTACCATTAACCAGTTTTCAACTAGAATCAATTTCGATTTCTAAAAAATAGTTGTATCTATGAAATTATAATAATATTTATAATGAATATTACCTCGAAAAAAATACTTATAAACTATGAATTGTTACTAAATTATTGATTTGTAATTAATTTATTTATTAATTATGCACACATAAACAAAATGATACACGTTCAGTATGTACAAATTGTAAAAGTTATACTTTGATGGTGAACTACTACTACTATTATTATTACTACTAATTATTATTATTATTACCATCATCATCATAAGATTTCATTTAGTTAGTTAGCTATAAGAAACGTAGAACCTGATACATAATTACACCGGTTCAAGTTTACGCACTACATTAGCACACAAAGATATAAAATCATTTCAAGACAAATGGCTGTAGTAGAAATAGTAACAGTATTATTGATAGTAGAAAATATTAGGCATAGACAGATTGATTCGAGATGAAACAATGAATTTGAGGAATAAAAGTTATAAGGTTGTTTTTAAACTTATGATCAAAGAGAAGAGTGAATGCATCATTGAACTGTTGTGAATGAATCTGAACTATGTCACTTAACCTCTTTAACTATTGGTTACTATAATCCCGAGGACACTAACCAGGTACTTTGCATCTAATAACATGTCTTAATCCAAAAGTCAATGATATCGCGGACCAATAACATGTCTCGGTTTGCTAGCCCTAAGCTTTTTTCTCAGCCTACTCCACCTTATACCAGAGAGAGATGGTGTCGGGGTCCGGGAGATGGTGCCACACAGAGGCTAGAGACGTTATCAGATATGGCTCATAATAGAAGCCAGTGGCGATCCTGTTGTAATCTTCTTTTACTTTCTTCATAAAAAGCGGTTGTATCTTCCTTAACTGAAAGATTTCTTTTGGTCATACCTTTCCGTTTCCCCCATTATTATTGTTGTTATTATTATTACACTACCTTACACTAATCTGGTCGTTATTGTTCTTTTCTATTTTACTCTCCTTACCTTTTTTTTCTCTCCCCATTCTCATTGTTTTGTGTGGCGCATATATATTTGGGGCCCTCTTGTACCAATATTTATGTGTTCAAATAAATAAATAATAACAAATAACCCTATACCAGTCAACATAGGATAATAATTTATAAAACAGAATTACAACTAGACTATGAGCGCAGAAGACAAATAACCTGACAGACTTACCAAAAGTAATGTACGCAACCGAATCACTGATAACTGCATCAGTCCCCTGTAATTCTTTTGGTGGAACGCGATGAGAATACAATACTTGAGGTGCTCGATCAAGACGTCTTCTTACCTCAGTGAACTCCTGTGATGTACATATTTGAATATAAAAATCCAAACAGTTTAAAAAAGCATCCCAATACATAATTCATAAACTGAAGTCAAAAAGGTCATCTAAGTTTAATTATAAATAGATTGTTACTAGAAATCACCGCTATTTTAATGTTATATATTGAACCTCTTGTATTTCTGGTCAGTAGCTTCAGAAATGACTCATGATACTAGGTACAGATGTATCATTGACCAGAATTCGAAAGACTATCCTCATTTATCCTTAAAGATATAGTTAAGTAATTAAAATAACACATCGTGCCACCACATAAAAATAAAGAGAATTCGGAAAGAAAAATTTTTTCGACGAAAACGATATGTCCAACCTATTATCTTTCCTTTGCCCTAATTCCCTTTTGTAGTATGTTTTAGTTGCTTTTTAAAAAATGAGTGTTTTGTAATTTTAAACCATAATTAGTTATTATTATCCTTTTTGTCTTCCTATAGGCATATATTTAGACATGCCTGTTATCGCTCGTGGAAGAGCATAGGTCGCCCACCATCACTCTCCATCGAACTATGTTCTGGGCAATTCTTTTCAGATGCTATTCATTTTTTTATGTCTGCTTCCAATTCTCGATGCAGTGTGTTCCTTGGTCTTCCCCTTTTCCATTTCCCTTCAGGATTCCAAGTTAGCGCTTGCCTCGTGAGGCAGTTTGGTGATTTCCGTAATGTATATCCTATCCACCTCCAGCGTCTTAATTTCCTCTTCAGCTGAAAACTGGTTTGTTCTACCCCCAAAGTAGGCTGTTGCTGATGGTGTATCCGGCCAACAGACATTGAGTATCTTCCGTAGACAATTGTTCATAGACACATATTTACCATACAACTATAAATACGAATATATAACTTAAGTAAATGATTTCGTTGAAAACTTCCTTCGCTGAATTCTATTTATATAGTTAAATGACATAGCTAACACTGATAGCAATGATTCGGTTATATTTAATCTTTACCTTTCTCTGAATTTGAAGCTTCGTATAAATTACCTCATACTTTTGATTGTTCGGTCTCATGTTACTTTTAAACTACGGTTTTTACGCTTCACTTTTCAATGTAGTTGAGATAGTATTTACCTCCATACACTAATCTAGTAAATTCCCTTATTCCATAAATCTAGAACAATACTTACCGACTAGATTCCATCTACCAAATACTATTATCACTACTTATAACCAATATTACTAAGAATAAATTTGTTGATGAAATCTTATTTTTAAAAGCTACTACTTCCCAACATTTTAGTACAAAGTGAAACTAATGAACTGCGAAGAAAAAAAATAAATATCAAACAGATTTACACATACTTGCATAAAAACTTTTCCAATTAACAAATCATCTGGATCTTTAAATGTTGTACTAAAGATAACTGTAACTCGATCAGCTAATGCTTGTACATACCTATTGGGAAAAAGATGAACAATAAATACAAGAAAACATGTAAGTTTAATGCATATAACTGTGTAACGCGGAAAAACAGGAGTGGCTAGATTAGTGGTTAAAAAGACTTGGATTTTAACCAGTAAGTTACATGTTCAAACGGTGAGTTTCACCCTCTTTTTGACCTTGGAAAGCTGTATACTGTCACTAACCCTCACGCATCCAAGCACAAATATAACAACTTACTTATTATTTATTTATTTTAACACATAAGTATAGGTACAGGGGGGCACCAAAATACATATGCGCCACACAAATCTCAATTGATTTGTGTGAGGGCTGTGATACTGCCCGGGTGCCCAAACCGAAGCAGGTGGTTGTCTTAGGGGGCAACACCCCGAGCCTTTGACCTGAACGTCTGACCCACAATGCAGTGGAGCATCGTGAGGAGATGCAGTCCCATGGTAGCCGGTGACCAACGATTGGTTCATACGCCATTTGTTCCCGCAGGATACTGGAGCCCATGTGCACCATTGGTTTGGGGTCCGGTTAAAGCGCCAGACATTCGCTTTTCGTCCTCTCATTTTTGTAAACAACACCCCCGCCACGAGAAGGCAGTGAGTAGGACTTCCCTGGCAGGGGCTATGTACGCATGGCCATGTGAGAGCATTTCGAGAGGGAGAGCGGACTCTCCCCACTCTCGGCCGTACCAGGGCATTTGGGGGCATAACAACTTACACAAGAGTATGGAGTGTCAGATTAACGAATTTAAGTTAAACACAATTATAACTAAATTTTTTGCCGCAAAACAATAAAACACTTTGATTATCATAAGTAATTAAGAATGCTAAACATACTACTCACTCCGTTAGTTAACAGAAACAGACACAACCAATAAAATAACTTACATTGTCTCATCGTCTCTATAATGTATCACCGCCCTCTTAGAACCCGAATCCACGTTAGATTTAATTTGATATTCGAAAAACTTCTCAAAAACAGCTGCCATACAATTTCTTTTTAAAAGACCACATTTGTGAGCTAATTGATTATGATCTGGAGGTAGTTTTTCTAAATCTATGCATAAGGTTACACTCTGATTGGGCTCTGCTGAAGAGAGAAAATCACCGTACTCGCGAGACAAGACCTTGAGAAAAAACGGTCAAGATTGAAACAAAGCATACTATTACTTTTTATAAGACCGATAAATGCTATGCTGAAAATATATAACCTACAAAGGGCTGTAATAAATGATGACGATGACGACAGAGGTTTGTACGATGACTAGAAAATACTTCTTATGTATTAGAAATCACAAATGTATGGCACAGTTTGGTGATCAACATGAATTTCTGCTGATAACCTAAAAAAGCAAGCCACTTTGTTGTTACGACGAACTCAACCACGAATCCTGATATGACAAGCCCTTAAATTGACCAAAATTTCAAGTTTTGTGGAGTTCAATTATATAGCTAGACTTATAATCCACTCAATTTATTTTGTCACATACAATTTCATCCTATTTTACCTTCAAAGAGTGAGATGGTCAGGACATATGTTACAGATGCTTGACTACTGTCTACAACAACGGGCGGTCTACTAGTGCAAAAGTAGGTTGGAAGAAAGTTGCGAGTATCCAAACCAAGATATGGCATTAGTCCATCAGGTCACTGACCGTTGGATATTCAAAAGAATATTTTGCTTAGTAATTGAAAGCTTTTACAGATCAAACTATCACTAATTTCATAATCGGTGACATACATCGCTAAGCTAATGACTTTCATATGCAATACCTGGGCATAATGAAAAGGTGTCTACAAATATCGACATCATCCCTATTGAGGTTAATTTCTTAAAATGTCCGGTATCCAATATTATACGCAAGCCATTGGTTGTGGATATGAGTCGTTTGTTCATGTTAGATTGGTCGAGGGATTATATGAAGTGACAAAATGCTCTATCAATAATAATTACGATTTGCTACGAGTTATTTAAAAGGCCGATAGTTTCATCGTTTGATTGTAGATCAAGCATGGAGAATCTATATTCTACTGAGTTTTGAAGCTGTAGAATTTGCTTTAACTGATTTTGCGTATGAGACTAACGAAGATAAAATTATCACACACGGTCTGTCTAATATGTATTGTTGAGTGTTTAAAGCAGCCAGTCTTTGTGGTCTGGTATGTGACGAAATCTCAGGACGGATACAGAAAGCTCGACCAGCTTTTGCCAACTTGCGTCATATATGGCGTAGGCAAGATGCCAGTGAAACATGACCGGTAAGAGTAGAAGGTATTCGTAGGTTACTAGTATTCGATCATAGGTGTCTTCAAAGCATTGTTCGTACAACCTGGGACCACCAAATAAGTAACGCAGTTGTTAGGGAACAGGTACTAGGTAAGGATGGCAAATCAATCGATGAAGTAGTGAAACTTCATCAGTTGAGATGGCTGGGACATGTGGTACGTATGCCTAAACACCTACTGCTCCGACGTGCGATGTTTTATGGTGTAGGAGTAGGTTGGAAGAAAGCTAGAGGAGGCTAGACCAAAACATGGCACGAATCCATGAAGTCACTGACAAGTGGACTGAGCCATGTTGGTAGGTGTAGACTATCTGGTCGAGATCGGCGAGATGATAGCAAGCGATGGTTAGAGACCTTGAATGACATGGCCTAAAATCGTTTGCAATGGAGCTCTGTGTTCTCGCAAATTCTAATCTTCCGAATTCTTCATGTCCCTTATTTTTTGTCTTTCCAAATTTATTTCACTAGATTATACTCTTTGAATAACATCTTCAAACCCTAATGTTTCGGATTACCACTTATACTTTTACTACCTTTCCCACTACGGGATTTGAATCGACTATTGTATATCCGTGCTAATGTCGTATGACAATTTGAACCGATGTACGTACGTACGAAGTTCTACATTGTTGCTGACTGACTGACTGAAAGCAGACAAAACTTACAGCATAAATTTTATAAATGATTGTCCTTGATAGGTAGTCCTGAGACATGTGCAACACGTTTAATCGATTTTAGAAACAGTGGTATCAACAGTTATCTGAAGTGCTATGTGTTAAAGTCAACGTTTTTTATTTTTCAGAGAGGAAGAACAGGGTGAAAGGTAGACCAAGCAAATTTCATACCATTGAAAATTTGCTCCTGAAGACTTCGTGACACTTTAGCTTACGATGCACATGTTTCAATCTACTGAAGGGTTACTTTATGTCGTTACTCTGGAGAGTTAGTTTTAAACGTAAAATGTTCAGACCACTACGTTATCTAAGAAAATTTACGTTTTTTAAATGTCCATTAAACTGTAACTAGAGGAAAAGACAATTGACCAGTTAAAATCTGCCTTCCTGCAACCAATATAACAATACTGAAGGTGACAAATCACTAACTAATCCTACTTTAAAGGTAAAGTACGCGTGACGTTTTTGCAGTGTCAGATAAATTATGCAACTTTCTTGATAAACTATTATTAAAATCTTAAGGAAATGTCAGATAGATATTATCGGCGGAAACTAATTTCAATGGGATATCCCGCATAACTTTGTATCACTAGACGACCACAAGACCATCCGATAGCGTAACGGAAAAAGATTTTTATTATCGGAATAAGTGGTGAACATATGAAATCTGGGGCAAAAAATGTATCATGAAGGTCAATTTCTTAACGAACTATGATATTTGCACACTAAATTAATGTTAACAAATGAAGAATGCACAAAAACTAATCATATGGGAATTTATAAGCATATAATGCATATTTTGCAAGCTAGTTACTTACCTCATTTACACCATGTTCATTTAATTCATGAAAGAATTTAATGAATATACTGACAAGTATCTTTTTCTTATCATTATTTGGATTACTTATGGTGTAAACAATACTATCGAAGTCCGCAACGGTGTAATCAATTTTATCATATCTGGATCTAAACGTGTAAAAGCTTTAAGTTAATTGTGATTTTACTCCTCCTTTGCCTGTTCAAATCTGGTGACTAGAATCTCTTCTACAGCTCGGTTACAAACTTCCAAAATAATCATCGGTAGCAATTGCTCTAATAATCCCGCTGAGTTTTAACGTAAAATAATTTAAATAGTTCCAATCGTACTTGGATGGAATAAAAGATAGGTTGTTGTTTTTTCCGTACTGATTCGTATCTCAGATTAATTCTGGTCCCTGAATATTTAATATCTTTATATGAACTGGTAAAATAATGAATATCTTTGCCTTCTAGCTTATAAGCTCCAAATGTTATGCCTCATAGCTCGTTTTTCTTTATATGACTCCAGTTAAGAAGGAGAGATATCCAAATCCTCAGGAAAGTAAATCATCAGAATAATTAGATAGTAAATTATCTGAGAGACCTAGAATGAGTACTTTGTATTACTAGTCCTCAGGAGACATTCATTCGTGTTGAGAATAAGTTGAAAAATCCCTCTCTAGCCTCCATACAACTCTAAAATCTTTTTCTGTGAGTCTGACAGAAGTGCATTCTACACGATATGATTTATTATCTTTTTTCTCGTGGTAGGTATGAGGTGAAAACAGAAACGTTCCACTAATTCCACATTTGTTGACATCTTTGAGTCCAGCCTAAAAGTCCCCCACTTTACAGCCCTTTATCATCAAATAAAACCCACACTTGTTTGCTCTAAGATCTTCGTACTACGTCATCGGACAATGTGTCTAAGCGACATTTCAAACTAGAACTTAGAAATTATCCGTTAGGAAATGGGTGGAAGTATACAATCTTGGACGTCTCGGTCAGAACCCTAGCAACAAGAGGGAATTGAATTTTGTCCTCTTATATTTTGAGGACAGTCTAAACACTGACTGATGCTAATACTCATCGGACTTTCCGTGACTCTTCTAGGCCCAAACTCCACATTGCTCCTATTACCAGTGAATTTGTGTGAACTGTATTTAAAGGTTACGTCACTCGTTGGTTAGAATATTAGGTCCGAAATTGGTACCCCGCGGTTTGACAGCCTCATTGTGAGAACTAATTATGGTTTTTGAGTGCCGACCAAGTTTTTACCGGTGTTCCCGTTCATTGACTTATTAAGTCGATATCTCACACAGACTTTTCCAATCGAGTTCGATAAATTGTTCTGCCGTGACACATCTAACTCGTGAGAAATACAGATTCCAATTAACCCTGTATATTTACCTATATTCAACTTTTGGGTAATAAATAAACCTACAACGAAATTTGGTAAGTGTAATACGAAATTTATAGTGGATGCATATATTTCTTGTGTGCCTATCGACATTAAAGATCAACAGAGGTGACCAAAGGTTGGATTGTTACCGATATCAACCACTATGTGAACCATTGCACGAGTTTGTGTAGTCGCAAAATGATTCAGACAGATGGCAAATTGACGCCTTAAATACGAACAAGCGCATAGATACATAAAACGCCAAGTGTATGAAAGTGCCACGAAAACGTTTAGCAGCATTAGTGGGATTAGCAATTACGTAAGTACTAGTCTGCTTTTTCTTATTTAAGTAGGAATGAATGGGAAGAGGCTACTATTTGCAGCTTGCCAGTATCGCGGTGAACTATTCTTTCTGGGTTTCACATTTCTGACAATTTCCAGCGATAGATTCAAACAAAAGCTTAAGGTTTTACTGATTAGTAATGCATATGGAAAACGGATGATTTTAACTAACAGGCAGTGTTCTTATTTGAGCCCAACTGACCTTCCGGTTTGTAAGGGCCACTAACTCTCGGCTTCAAGACATTTCTTGAGTCACGCCCACCTTCTTCATTGTTAGTTCTATGACAGTTATTGTGATGATTTCTTCTACAATATGATCTAGGATAAACATACTAAGCTATATATGTGAAAGTTTCCAAAAACATAGAGAAAAGACCGTTGGGATTTAAATGGTTCACTGAACTTCTATAAGATGGTGAATGAATAACGCAGAGTGGTATGCCACCCAAATGATTTGGTCTGTAGCGTGGAGTCGAGTCTGGCTTGACTATGAACACCTCTACAAGAAGACTAAGTGCCAGTTAACCAATAAGATCCCCGTAGGTCAATATCAGAAGGCGGATGATGGCTGTAGTCGAAATGTATTTGCTGGCGATCTCGTGGTATCGAAAGAATACCGAAATCGTGCCAAAGGAGTACAAGCGTAAGTGCTAAGCGTAATCGAATTCGTACAAGTTCACAATCAACGGGAGAGTGAGTGTAATGGCTGTCATTAGTACAGTTAAATAAACGAGCACAGTAAGACAATCACTGATACAATTGGTTATAATAATAATTGTTTTCATTGAACCAATCGCGTTCTGTTGACAAAAGTAAGTCACTACAGGAGCCCCCCGCTAGAAAGGGTTTACACTTTTGATAGGTAGCGTTTCGGTTCGTGGGACTGATCGGCAAAAGTGCGATTGTAGGACGGAAGAATTGGCGAAACAAGAAGAGATCGTTGATCCTCGAGTTGCCAACGAAAGTCTTATACAAAGAACGGTACCAGGAGAAGTGTTCTGTATTTGTCGCACGAGCTAGCATACCACACCAGAGTGGTTTGTATTCAGGATCTGAAGATTGCGTTCGTAGGGATGCGGACCAGGGAACGTTGCAGACGTAGGACGAAACCACGTTGAGCCAAGAAACCGGAGGCGACCATAACGACCAAACGCGAAACCAAGCGTATGCCAGGCGAATTCGAAACCAGATTATCGACTGAGTGTGTTGACAAGAGAGTGGGTGATCAGGCCAGCTTTCTCCAAGGCTGACTGAAATCAACGTTACCAAACGGGCGATGGCCGGAGGCGTGGGCTCAGGATACAAAAAAATCAAAAAAAGAAAAGTGTAGCATGCGTGTAGTAAAAGAATAGTCCCACACCGTATCTGTTATTGACTGTGCGGTTAGTCGTGAAAGCGTACGGGTAATCGTACTCGGCGACCGGAACGTGAGATGGTAGTCTCGTTCGTACTTTGTGGGCCTGCGATCTCATCCGAGGTCAAGGGCGGCGTGGTCTGCCGATCTGGACGTGAGACGGAAGTCTCGTCCGTAGATGGTGCAGATGACACGTGCTGTTGACTGGGACGTGAGAATGAGGTCTCTGATGTATCTAGCGTGGGACCTGAAGTAGATGTAAGGATCCCGCTAGTAGGTTTCGTAGGTCTAGCATTGAGTCTCAAGTTATATGGTGGGGCACTGTCATCGACGTGTGCTGATTTGAGACGATCAATGCTGACGATCTCGACGCGGCCATGTCGATCAACCTTGACGGTCTTTTCGTGACGAGAGATCACGTGAAAACGTCCTTCGTAAGGCTGTTGTAGAGGTTTCCGTACCGACTCTACTCGTATGAAAACATGTGAACAGGTAGATAACTCTCAAGGGAGTGCGACCTGTCGATGTTGTATTCGAGTTGACACCGGAGACAGCATTCGCATAAATAAAGACAGTCGATGGACGTAGTCTGATTTACCGAAATCATTACTGCTCCGTGGTGTGAAGAATTCCCCAGGCAGACGCAGTGTCGTGCCGTATACAAGTTCAGCGGCGGAACATTGGATATCTGCCTTCAAACTCGTTCTGATGCCTAAGAGAACGAGCGGTAAGGTTTCGTACCAATTGTCGTTTTCGTGTGCTCGGAGAGCACTTTTAAGTTGGCGATGAAACCGTTCGACTAAACCATTCGATGCTGGATGGTAGGCGGTAGTGCGTATGCGTTCCGTACCAAGCAGCCGGGCCAATAATGAGAATAATACGGACTCGAACTGTTGTCCTCGGTCAGTCGTGACAGTCGAGGGACAACCGTACAGTGCTATCCATCGTTCTGCGAAGCAGTGAGCAACTGTCTCCGCCGTAATAGACGTGATGGGAATAGCTTCGGGCCATCTTGTAAAACGGTCAATGCACGTGAGTATGTGATCATACCCATGCGATGGTGGCAATGGTCCTACAATGTCTATATGAACGTGATCGAAGCGAGCATCAGGCGTAGCGAACGTGCCAAGGGGGGCCAGCTACGTGTCTGTGCACTTTTGATCGTTGACACTGTAAGCATTGCTTTACCCACATACGAACATCTTTATTCATGGACGGCCAGACGTATCGTGCAGCGATGAAACGTAATGTGGCTGCGATACCTCGATGAGACAATCCATGAAGGGCATCGAAGACTAGACGGCGATAGGCAGAGGGTACGATGGGTCGAGGAAGACCGGTAGAAATATCACATAGGATAGTACCTGAGCTAGTAGCTAGGGGTACTTCCTGACACTGAAGGGATGAAGATTGTGGTGCTTCTGTACAGACAGGATCGTTTGATTGTGCGGCGGCCATAGCAGGAAGATCGAGCACCGGTAAGGTAACTGCATTCGTCTGGATACGTGATAGAGCATCGTCAACATAGTTCGACTCGCCTTTAATGTGACGAAGGTCTGTCGTGAACTGGGAGATATAGTCCAAATGTCTGCACTCTCGTGGTGAGTAGCGGTCAGACTTGGTATGCATTGCAAACGTTAAGGGCTATTGGTCGGTGAATAAGTTGAATTGGCGTCCATCTACTGCGTGCCGGAAATGTTTGGTGGCACAGTAGGCTGCTAGCGGTTCGCGACCAAAAGCGCTATATCTCGTCTCCGTGGGAGTAAGGCGTCGCGAGAAAAATTCAAGCGGTTGCCAACTACCGGAGATATTCTGTTGCATAACGGCTCCTATAGCAAAATCCGATGCATCAACCGCTATACTAAGCGTGGCTGATAGGTCAGGATGAGCGAGAAGTGTAACTTAAGCAAGAACCGTTTTGATCTCTCAAAATGCAGTACGTGCGGTATCGTTCAATTCTAATTTGCGTGGATTACCGCGTAGTAAATCGGCTAATGGTCGTAACCGTTCTGCCGCGTGAGGGATGAAACGTCGGTAGAAGTTAACCAAATCGAGAAAAGCCTTCAGTTCCTTGATTGAGAACGGCACGTTGTACTCCTTGATTGCTAGAACTTTGTCCTCGCAAGGCAGAATACCCTCTTGTCTGATGATCTGACCCAGAAATATTATTTCTGATTTGCTCAATTCACATTTCTGTGGGTTGACTACTATTCCATT